AGTAAATCGATGATATATATGACAAACTTATATGAAGTTATTGATCAAATTATGCCATTTTGTAGAGGAAGATTAGAGCTATCATCTGAAAAAAAAGTTATTCGAAATACATAAATCTATTACAATCCTATGATCGTTTTACTAATATTGAGTGAAAATTTTTAAGATTCATTTTTTGGAAAAACAAAATATGTTTGTATCATCTTAAGCGATATATCATATTCTAGATATTTTTACATGATTTGAGAGAGTTTGATAAGCTCTACAAGAATATGTATGTTTACAAAGCTTTTGATCTTATTTTGAATATGAAACTTAAAGGAAACCAAAAAAAAACCAAGAAAAATTTCATGTATCAAATATTAAAGAGAGTAAGTTGATCTTTCAAAAAGTTTTAGCTGATGGACTGTTTCATCTATTCAGCCAGCTCAGAAGAGGTATTTTCGGGTTCAGTATGTAACACTGCATCTCGAAACATCAATTAACTGTCGATCAGCTAAAGTTTTTGGAACTTAAGCATACTAACTCATGAAAGATATGTAAGATTTTTATTAGTTTGCGTGATTTCATTCGAGTTTTATATTGAAAGCAGGATTCGAATTTTTCTTGACATTCATATTTTTGTAGAGCTTGTTGAACTCTATCGAGCTATATAAAAATGTCTATTACAAACATGTAGAAATTAATATTTGGCTCGGCTTTAACAGCTCAAACATTAAAGATTTCTTTGTTTTTCTAAAAAAAAAAAATGAAACGTAAAAATTTTCACTCAAAATTAGTAAAATGACCATAGAATCGTCATAGATTTATGTATTTCGAACTCTTTTTTTTCCAGATGATAGCTCTGATCTTCCTCTACAAAATGACATAATTTGATCAATAACTTCGTATAAGTTTGTTATAGATATCATCAATTTACTGAGAGAGGGGTCGAAACTTTTGGATCACCCTTTAGTTATAAGAATGATAAGATATTAAAGACAAAAATTTTTAAAGCTTTAAAAATAAAAAAAATCCAAGAATACAGTTTATAGATTGTTAGTTTATATAGAAAACAATCATTTAGTTGACTAGATTTATTTTCTTTAATAGAATATGTATTTCGACAATATTTTATTCTATTTCATAGTCATAGAGGGATACTGAATGATTAATGAATTTTGAATAGATAATCAATGTTAATAAATTATTTTCTTTTATAGTGCATATTTTCGATATATTTGTTTTTATCTTGAGGAAATAGGAACATCGAATAATTGGTGAAAGTTTTTGAAAGTGTTGTTTTTTTTTTAAAACTATTTATTGCCATAAGCAGGAGGCTGACGTGCGTGATTTTTAAAAACCAGTGCTACCTTGTATCTCATATTTATGACATTAAAAAGTTAAATTTATTGCCTAAATAGTGTAGTCGATAGTATGTAATGCATAATCACAACTTGACAAATTTTTGATACCACAAATTAAATTTTTATTTCTATAAGTCTTTCTATTCATATTAATATTATTGAAACAAACGATAAACTTGATCAAATAAAAAAAAAAGCGATTAAAATCAACTCAAACTAAAGAAAGTCAACTAAAAATCGTAAAATAACTCCATAAAAGAACACATTCGATGTTTATTTCTAGTTCACAGCAAATTGAAATGATAGAGTACTGAGAAAAAATGATTTTAATGGTAGACATCTATCTAGGTTAATAACTTTTCATTGCTTTCGTTTCCGGAAGAAAAATGAAGGTGCCACGTATAGTCAGGAATCAAGACATAACAGAGTCAGTCATATTCTATTACCCGTGCCGTTCTAATAGTGTCGACGGATTAGGATTATTCGATCTTTTAATTTCAAAATAAATTATATCATCTAGAAGTAAAATATCAATGATTGTTTAAATGAATCTGTTTATTTAATAAATCGATTAATGATTTCAATATATATGTTCATCTTTCTTCGTTGTTAAATCTACATTATATCACATAATATTGATTGTCAGCCGTATAATAAACAATAGAAATTGAACGAAAGAAAAATGTGACCTTTTCGTTTTTTTTTTTAGAAGTCTGTCTATCGAACAAAGTAGATCAACATCAACAGATCGGTTGAGCTCTTTGAATAAGGATTATTCGTTTCGTCTTTTCTTCTTCTTCTTCTTCTTCTTTTTTTCCTTTACTATCGTTTGACATTCTTTTTCTAACATTATTTCATCTAACAACAAAACACCTCAACAATGAAAATATGCAACTGCTGAACCATCATAAACGACCCTGTAATTGTAAGCACGTATTGTCTCACGTTTAGTTAATATTTGAGAGATAAAATAACTTGATTGAGATATGATCAAAATCATTTTATAATTTTTTCTTCTACATTAAAAATGATGTTTAGTAAAATCTTTCTTCTTTTTGGTAAGACAAAAAAAAAATATATATATTTTTCATAAACATAGATATACTTATAGTTATTAGAATAGATAAAAAGCTTCTTCTATGATTTTAGCTTTTAGTTTTGGCTATGCTATTATTATCATAGCTAGTTTTATTTTTAAAATAACATTAGCTGAATATGATTGTTCAGCTAAAGAAGATGGTTGGTATTATGATCCAGAATTTTGTCATATTTATTGGCGTTGTATTCATGGTTCATCAGAAGAATTTGAATGTGCTAGTGGGACAGCTTGGGATCATCATGAAAATCGTTGTAATTGGCTTGATAATGTAGATTGTTCACGTGCTGAAAAAACCACAGCAAAAATTGTATCTGAAGATGATGATAATGAACAAGATGATGATAATGAAACAAAAGATGATAAACCTATTGTTGTTGTTAGTAAATCAAAAAGAAAGAAAAAGAAAATGAATTCAAATAAAAGAATGTTAGATGGTGGTGGTGGTGATGATGAAGAAGAAGAAAATATTGATCGTGAGAACTCAAATTAGTGCATGAATGCTTGTTTCGCTTTTGAATATAATCCTTTTTCTTCTACATCTTCTTCTTCTTCTTCTTCTTCTCATAAATGATCAATCGATCTTCCATTCCAGTTTCTTGTTTAACTGTTTGTCAAGCAAATTCATCTGCTGAAACATTTTGCGCTGGTCGTGATGGATTTTTTGCGTAAGAAATTTCTTCTTCTATTGAGATTTGCATGTCACTTCTTTTATTTTTTTTTTTGTAATATCAGTGATCCTGATTATTGCACGAGATATTATCGATGTGCGCATGGTGTTGATCAAGGATTTGAATGTCCAAAAGGTACTGCATGGCATGACGAAACAATATCATGTGCATGGATTGATCAAGTTAATTGTGATCAAAAGAAAGTAGATTATTCAACAAGTACCACTACAGAAGGCATGAAATTCTTTTAAAAAAAAAAATATAATTTTTCTTTAGTTTTTTAAAAAAAAAAAAATTTATTCATTGATTAATATTTTCTTTTATTAGATACAACAACATCACGTAAAAAATCTGATACTGATTCTGTACTATCGGAACCAAATATGGGATTAATTCTATCACCAACACATGGAAAAGATAGTAGTGGTGGTACATCAGTTATTGAATGTCAACCGACGGGAATTTATACTGTAGCTGATCCATTAGAATGTAATTCTTATTATCAATGTGATAAAGGTATACGAACACGACTTAATTGTCCTGAAAGACAATTATTTGATGCTGATAAACGTCAATGTATGGAATATGAACGAGTTTTTTGTGGATCTCGAGCAGCTAATTTAGCTGATAAAAATCAATGTAAATTTTAATAAATAATGAAAAAAAAAAAACATACTTTTTGATTATGAATATAGGTATCAATAAACGTGATGGTATTCATCCGGATACAGAACGTGATTGTCATTTCTATTATCAGTGTGTAGCACAAAATAAAATGCGTGAAGCTAAATGTCCAGGTGATCATAAATTTAGTAGTTATACAGGAAAATGTGGTCCAGCAAATAATGCTCCAATGCCATGTGGTACTTATATACCAGGAACTGCAACAATACAATGTATTAATTTTTTCTAATTTTATATGTTTAATTTTATCTTTTGTTTTCTTCTTCTAGATCATCGAAATATTGGCTTTTTGATTTCATTTATTTTAGCAATCAATTTCTTCATTGTCTTTGATTTATAATCAATTGAACACGCTTTTTTTTTCTCATTTTTTTTCTACTCTTATTTTATGTGCCTATTGTTGCTGTAGTTCACATGTTTTATTGTTTAGTAAAGAGATAAGAATATAAAAATGAATATTTATATATGAATTGTTGAATATCAAAAGGACAAAATATTTTATTAGAATGAAAAATATTTTGATTATGAATGAGAAATTTTTCGTCATATATGAAAAGAAGATAATCAATTTAAATAATTATATTTTACAAATTAAAGTTTTAAATATCGAATAATTCAATTCTATTATTTTAAATTAAATGAAAATGTTTTATATTTTGTTTACTTCGTTTACAATTACTCATATTAGAAATATGATCAATGATAAGAGCATAAGTACTTTAATGCTTTTATAGGGATGATCTCCAAAATCTTGAAAATTTTTTGTTTTTCTTTTCCTCGTCAATTTTCCTAATAGAAAAAAAAAGTTCAACTCTCTTCCTCTCAATTCAGTCGATTCTAGCCAAAATCTTTCAACATAATCTCCTCAATCTTCGACCTCGAGACAACCCTAATTCATTATCAAGATTACGATGACAAAAGCTTATTTATGTAGTCGTATCACATAATCAAAAGATTGAAGATAAAGCATGTATTTTGATATAAAACAAGATTATTCATCTTTATTTATTTATATCTTCTTTTCTCGACTATGTCATAAACATAGGAAAATTCAATCAACTACTTGAATATAGGATTTTATTTAACCTTTTCAATTTGCGTTCGTTTTTATTTCTTTAGCATACACATTTGATCATTTACTAAGAATATTCTATTACGTCATTATAATTAATCCTTTACATTTCGTTTGTTTGTTATATTCACGATATATAGTTTTTTTTTTTCTTTATTTTTATTTCTTACATCGGATAAAAGAATCCACATATAGAAAGATGAACGAAGAAAAAAAATACAATTAAACCTCGAATAAATACAGTTGATCTAATACAGAGTTTGGTGTTTGTATGTATTACGTGTATCTGTGTGTATATGTCCAATTAAACGATGTTCACCTTTTTCTTGACGGAAAAGAAAAAACAAAGCTTATAGACAAAAGAAAAAAAAAATAAAGTTTTATTGTATCATTGTAACAAGTGGATTTTATTTGGTCAATGAATAGATAAGGAATGGATAAGATATGGATAGTCAATGTTGGTGGTGGTTTATAATTTATTTAATAAATTTCTTTTTTAATACAATTGCATCAGATTATTTATTAAATACACTTAAACAACGAAATGAATCAACGAATAAAAAACAAACATCATCGAAATCGAACAATAAAAATCTTCAATATCAATCAACTTATTCAACTCATTTGGCAGAGAATACAACAAAAATTCGTACGAACAACATCATTCAATCATTTATAACCAAACCTAATTCTTATCTTTATAATTCTGATGAAGATGAAGAAAATTTTTTAGATCGTGTTAAAAGACAAACAACTCCATTTGTTTGTAAAGGTAAAAATTAACACCTTGCACTTTTCAGGATATACATACATATATATATATATATTGTAAAACTTGTTTAGCTGATGGTTATTATCCAGATCGACAGAATTGTCGAATATATCATATTTGTACATCAGGTGTTGATACAGCAGCTGTTTGTGGTGAAGGGACAGCATGGGATCCAATTAGGAAAAATTGTGGATGGGAAAATACTGTTGAATGTAAAAAAGGACTTCGAAAATGGGATCAAATAACAGATATTCGAGGGGGTAAGTAAAAAATGTACATATATATGAGTGAATTGCAACTTTTTGTTATGATTAAGATTTTAGCTGAATTAGTCTAATAGATTCTTTTCTAGTTGATTGATTTGAACTATTATTTAAATACATTATTAGCCTCTGAGTATCCCTCATCGATAATAAATTTAAACTCTCTAGTTTATATATTGTTGTCGATTTATAAGGTTTACCCTGCAAAAAAAAATCGTATTTTATAGAGACAGATGCACTAAGAAAGGATAGGAAAGATAACGAATAATCATTTATTTCTGCAATTTTCTTCGTCTGCATACAAGTTAACGAAATTTTTTTTTCAGCAAATAAAATAAATAATAAACACTGTTAGTACAATCCTTGTGGAATTAAAATGTCAAACACAATATAACTGCTGTCGATAATTATAGGCAGATTGTTTTCTTTTATCTAATGTGTGATCGAAAAGTTTTTAAATAAGATGATTGTTCACTTTTGACCCATTAGAAAGTATATCCGACAAGCCAGAAGCAATGAATTTTTGACTTTTACTGAATTTGTCGAACGATATTTTTAATGTAATATTCCAAGAAATAATGAGTCAAGATGAATTACGTTTTGTACTATTGAACTCATTCCATTGCGAAAGGTGACTCTACTTATGTGACAAACTTTTACTGTGTAACATAGGCATAGAACATAATAGAATGTACTATTACCTATTCAAAAATAATAATGGTCGAAGGTAGTTTTACAATGACTCAAGACAGAAAGAGCTAGAGAGCCATAGTCTTTCATCATTCAAGAAAAAGAAGATTCAGGTCCATTAAAGTATATTGAAATTCGATTGGTCAATAATTGATCAGTTAGGTGAATAGAAAAGTCTTTCGCTTTCGATCTGCCGAAGCTCGACTTAGTTCCATTCGAGTGTCATAAGACTTTTCCTGAGACTTACAATACCAACCAATAGACCTTTAATCATCCGGAAAGGCATTTAGGTAGGAATAACTCACTATGTTGAATCGAATTGTGATATTTTTTTTTTAACTTCGAACTGATCTAACTCTGTTATCTTAATATTTTTGAAGTTTCACAATCAATCTTCATGTAACGACGAAGTTGATATTTCGGAAATATTAAGATAAAAGTGTCAAATTAGTTCGAACCTTAAAAAAAATATCACTATTCAATTCAACATAGTGAATTATTCCTGCCTATATTCTTTTCTGGGTGATTACAGATCAATTGGAACTAGCATCAGCCTTGTGTAGATTGATTTCTCACTAAGAAAATCCGAAAATACTTCAATGACTCTGAGTCTTCTCTGTTGAATAGTGAAAGCCTCAGAAGTGCACTTTCAATTTTTTTGCACTAATCGTACTGAAAAGTTGCAATTTGTTCATATATATCGAATGATCACTTGAATATTTACTATTATTTTTTTTTCTTGAACTTTAGTTACTTTATTTGCTACTGATGCAGCACTTGCATGGCGAGCAAAAAAGAAATCCACAACAACTCATGCACCAATTAAAGTTGATTCAAATTTTACATGTGAATATGATGCTGAAGGATATTTTCCTGGTATTTTAATCTTCTATCATAATTTTATTTCTAAAATATTTATTAAAAATTATTCTAGATCCAAAATATTGTCATATATATCATTTTTGTGCTATTGGTGCACATCAAGTACTACAATGTTTAAATAATCTTTGGTATTCATCAGAAACACAAGGTTGTGATTGGCCTGAGAAATCAGATTGTTAGTATTTTATTTTTTTAATTTGATTTAATTGATAATTTATTTCATAAATGAATAGGTAAAGCTGGTAATTTACATACATCATCAACAGCAGCAACAAATATGATTGATGGTGATGGAAATATAGTTACAACTCCAAGAAATTTTCGATTAAATGTTTATTTACCAATTGAATGTCCACCAGGTGTTCAAAAATATTTTCCTGATCCATATGATTGTTCAGCTTATCATTATTGTAGTGGTAGGTTTTAAGATTGTTTTTTTTCTTCTTCTCATCAATTCTTTTCGAGAAATTTTATTGGTGAAAAATTCTTATGTAAGTCTTTGCTCCCAATTGAATGTTTTCTCTTTTCTCTATTGAAATTTGTAGTCATTTTTTTTTATTATAATTATAGGTGGTGTCGACAAACCATCATATTGTGATGCTGGTCTCTTCTATGATAAGAGTAAGTGTTAACATTGCATTATGTGTTTTTCGAAGAGACATAGCACTTGTAATTTCAAGTCGATGTTTTAGTAGCTATCTTTTCTTGTTTCTAGCTATCGGACCAAACATCATTGAGTACGATTCTGTAGGAAATTAGAACAGTTAGTTAAATCAATGGTAAGCATTATAATAATAACAATCAATTACGAAAAGCTGTTAACGTATTGCTTGTGAGATTATAATGTTTTGTTTCTAATCCCAGAGGCAAATTTTCTTCACTATCCTTCTCCAAAAATTACAATAAAGGATTAGTTTATATATTATTATTGATTGTATATCAACTCCGTCTTTTGTGGCGATTCAGATGCAAAGTTCTACCTCTATACTTCATCATTTCTTTCAAGTCATGTTTCATAAAATGAAATAAATAAGACAGACTGTTCTTCAGAGTAAGGTTATCCATGAAAATCAATCATCGTCTGCTAGAGATTTTTCACTTTGTATCAGTATAAGGAACTTAAAAGTGATATATGATCTTTGCTGATAAGTTTTTCTTTTTCTAATCAATTTTGTATTTTTAATTAGAACACGGTTGTCAATGGCCAAAAGATGTTCCTCATTGTAAGCGATTGATTTTGTTATTTTTTTAATTTAATTAATAATGATTTATTTTAAAGGTCAACATAAATGTCCAGCCAATGGGCAACGATTACGTTTTGTAGCTACTCATAGTTGTTGTCATTATTATGAATGTATTAATGGTCATTTAAAAGAACAAGTGTGTCCATTACATAAACTTTATTCAGTTGAAACAAAACGATGTGAAAATTTTCAAGTTGTTACTTGTGGTTCAAGAGAAAAATGTATAGATCCTTGTAAGATTTTTCTTTTCTTTTATCAAATTATATAGAATGTTTGTTTTTTTTGTTTTAAATTAAGGTGATTATGACAATTCTCCATTATGTGAATTTAAACCTGTTTGTCGAGATAAACCAAATGGTAATTATGTTGATCAATATCGACCTAATTGTCAATTTCATTATACATGTCTTGAAAGTCGAACATTTAATTATACAGCATGTGAACATGGTCATCGATTTTCTGTTCAACATCAAAAATGTCTACCTGCTAAACAAGTCAAATGTTTTTCTATACATAATTATCAATTTTCATTTAATCTCATTTTTTTCTTCATTTTGATACAAATTATTTATTAATTCTATGTAAGGTTTTGATTCAAAGAATATAATAATAAAATCTTTTATCCATTGTGATAATTGAAAATATATATATATACATATATTTTTCTCATTAAAAAGTTCATTCCATGAAAATTCGACATATACTTAATTTTCAACTTAATGTAAGATTTTTTTAAAATTCGGAATAATCGATGAATATTATCTAGAAAGACTTATCAGTTGAATAACAGTCAAATGAATGTGTTTTAACAAGGTGTGGGTATGAATGCTTAATGTTTGTCTTTTCATCATCCGCGAGCATCCACACTCACATCCCACACTGTTAAAATTCCATCACATATTTCTCTTACGACCGAGTCGTGTGATTGAGATGTCGTCGAGTAGCATCTGGTATTGATTGCATTTACAATCACACGCAGATGCACACCCTCTATAATATATCGACAGCTATACATACAGAAAATGGTAAAAAAACAGGAACAAAAAGAATGTGACCCACTTTCCGAAGTAGAAGACACCCTCTATTGAAAGTCTGCTTTAGAGGAATCGATACAAAAGACGTATTAGAAACTGCAAGACTTCCTTTGTATTTCAGCAATATCAGTTTTGCGAGCAAAATTTCACAGATGCTACTATATTAGTCTTGATGAGGGTTGTCTGTGTATAAAATATGTTTCTTGAGACGGCAAATGCTCATAATTAAGAATAATCTTTAGAATCCATTTTCATTTTTCGTTGACGTCTGACATCATGGTCACTTTGTCCGGTAATAGGTATTTGAAAATCATAGCTGATTAAAAATATTCACATTTCTTTTGCTCGTAGGGTGTGGGTGAGTTTTCTTGTTGACCCTACCAAAAACCTAACATGGTATATGCATGCGATCGTGCCCATCAACCAATATACTCAGACAAATACTAACGTCGGTTGATGAAAAATTAAGTATATTTTAAATCCTTATTACACAATGAGATGATCACAAAGGTTTATGAAAAAAAATTTCCAGGTTCTTTTACACTTTAGAACCCCAGGCATCTGATTGGTCACAACACAAGCACAAAAGTGTGGGTGAGGGTGAGAAAGTTGATTATTTGGGGTCCTAAAGTGTAAAAGCTCCAGAACTTCGACATCAGACAATAAAATTGTACTGAAAGCAGTAATTAATAGTCTTTTTTTTTGTTATAGATATTACAAACATTTCGGAATATTGTTATTCATCATTTATCAATTTATGGGAATTAAATTTGACAAAATTAATCCCGATAAATTTACAATGATTTGTCCTATGCAGATAGTTGATGCAAATGAAGCTGGATCTGTTTATTTTGTCAAGTATAAAGCTCAAAAAGAAAATAATTCTGAAACAAAAGAAAATGATTCTGAAACAAAACATAATGAATCTGAAAAAAAGACTCATTACGCATTAGCAACCGACGTGACAGGTATTTAAAATAATGTTTTCTATTATTTAATTTTTCTCTATCGCTCTTCTTGGATCGTCAAATAGAGATTACTTCATCGCGACTCATTACGATTTGTATGTTATCAGTCCAACAGATTATACAACACATGTTGAGGCTACTTACAAGAAACGAAAATGGGATCATTATTTATTAATTGAAAAGCTTGGCAAAATATCAATTAATGATATTTCAAAATTTTATATTCCACCTCATTTCGCAAAAAATATTGAATATCGATTAATAAATGATGTTTTTAATCATTTATGTGAAATGAACAACGGTCCAACATGGTCTTCAATTTTGAATTGTCAAAGTTTTACGCGTGCGAGTATTGAATATTTGGGATATGATTTTCCATCGACTGTTGAAGTAACTAGCGATTGCATTCCAACAATGGCGGATTTATAGATAAAGGCTTCCTTAATGGCAGCAAAGACAAAAAAAAAACAACTTAAAATTTATTCATGTAAAACATTCATACCTTCATTTAGTCTAGATTTTGTTTTATTTTGAATAAAAAAAAAAACTTTATTCTATTGTTCATCTAAAGAAATCTTTTGCAAACGAAATAAATTTATCTGTAAGGCAATAATTTTGTGTTCTAACTGATTTCATCCATGTTTAGATAGAAGACAGATCTCCATCCCAGCGTTGAATTAGCGCCCTCATGAATATCTCTGAGACACTATTGACTATGAATTATCTCTTTCGTCTTAATTTTAATATATTTCAATGAAACAGAAAGTTTGGTGATCCACATAAAACTATCAATAATTTTGCTAAAAAAGATATAATTTTTGTATTAAAATCTTTCAATGACGACCATGATCAGAATTTATCATTTGATACAATTGAATAAGAGTCGTCGTTTAATTAATAACTTGTGATCTTCTGCTTCATCTTTTCGTATTAACTTGGCTTACAGCTACTACTAATATATTCTGAGTTCTTCATGAAACTCTTTGAAGCTCCCCTTGATTTATGATATAAAAGATTATGTAACTTGTTTGAATCAAATTTAGGTCTTGCTTCAAATTGAGCTTTTAACACTCAGAAAACAGTAAATGCTCTTAATAAAATAGAGTAACGATTGTGCAGAATCATTTAAAAGAGCAGTAAAGTCTGTTCAATGGGGTAGAATGTTGATCACTTCTCTCTCGTATCAGTTAGAGAACTTCTACAGCATTGTATTACACTAGATAAGCAACATTTTTTTACATGAAAAAAAAGCTGCAGAACAAAATATCTTACGAGGGAACCTCACCAACTAATACTCTCCGTTTGAACTCATATTTTGCTCATAAGTAGGACTCATAGCGTAGATAAAAATCGTAAAAGGGTCCGTCTCATTAGGCATTTCTTCTCGGGTTACGGTCATTTTGTTGAATTTTCAGTATGTTGTAGGATATTACGAAAAAAAGCACAACAAGGAATTCCCATCTGAAATTTTCCCCAACAATAGATATCATGGCCCTTATTATATTCTGAAAGTTTCAGCTCAAACGGATGTTTCTCTTCCGAGATAATATATTTGTAAAAAGCATCACTTTCTCACAAAACCTCCAAAAATAGCTCATTTTTTAGGTATCTCATATTTTAAGAAAAACTTATCCATGTGAGCTGAAACTTTCAGAATATAATAAGGACCATGATATCCATTGTTGGGGAAAATTTCAGATGGAAATTCCTTATTGCGCTTTTTTTCGTAATATCCTATTACATGCTGAAAATTCAGCAAAATGATTATAACTCGAGAAGAAACGCCTAATGGGACGAGCCATTTTAGGGTTTTTATCTACGCTACGGCTCATACTTGTGAACAAAATATGAGCTCAAACGGAGAGTATCAGTTGGTGAGGCTCCCACGTTAGTTGTTTAGATAATCCCAGAAGGGTGTGTGTGTGATGATGTTTGAACGTGAGTGTTGGCGTGGAGTTTGAATGTGGGTGTAGGGTTTGACTTTGGGCGGGTGTGAGTGTGTGTGTGAGTATGTATGCTCACTATGACTGCCATTCGCAGCTACACCCCGCAGGTACCGGCACGCCTACACTCACTCCCACACCCTCACCCTGTTTCCTTAGTCAGTCATCCACAAAAAGCAAAAAGTATTCAGAAAACAATTCATTTTATCAGATTTTATAGAGCTTTTTTCGTTGATCATTTTGGTAAAAGATCATTTTGAATTTCATTGAGAAATGGCGGTATTATAATCAAAATATTAAATACTGTGAAATACCGGGTGTTCCAAAATGTTTGCAACATAGTTTGTTTAGCGAATATTTCTGCATAGACAAATGATAAAATTTTGTTTTTTTCTTTCAAAAAATGCGTCGTGAAAGCTCTGCAGAAACTATAAGAACAAACCCTATTGACTTCTTTTGATGGTTTCTTCCATACTCAAAAATAAAAAGAGAATGCATGATAATGCTACTTCCCACCGTATTTAACATAATAAAAATGTTTGGAAGACTTTTATATTTTGCGTGTATCGCGGCTTAAGAAAATAATAGCATCTTGGTTTTTTTCAAAAGATGCGCCGTCGAAAGCTCTATAAAAGCCGTATAGACAAATTTCTATTGCATAAAAAAACAATCTTCCAAACATTTTTATTACCATTTTGTAGTTTTTTGTGTCTTTTTTTCTTAGTACTGAGGTTTTTTTTATTGTATTTCATATTCAAGAGTTTTTCGAATTGAACAGTTATATATATATATATATATGGGGATGACCAGTCTGGCCGGAAGACCCATTATTATTTTTTTTTATTGTAAGGATAGAGCATACTATTATTCGGGTCATATGAGAGAGGATACCAGATAACCCTAGATTGGTCCGAACAATACCATGTTTTATCCTTACAATAGTAGAAAAAAGCTACCTGTTTACTACCAGGTCACACGATAAACAGGTAG